GTCGGGCTGCGCTCCCCGCCTGGGAGAAACCCCCGCACCCCGTGCTGGGGCAGCCCCTGGCACCCATAGGTGCTGGTCCAGCACCCGGTACCCACCCCGGAGGGCACCCTCCCTTCCTTGGGATCCTATTCATTGGGGTCCCCCCCCTTCCCCCCGAGACCCTCGGGTGCGCTTTTTCGGGGCCAAGGCCTGCAGAAATGGGTAAAACTCTTCATTGAAAGTTTTGTCTCCGACTCCCGGTGCCCCCCGAGGGCCAGGGCATCCCCCCGGGGCCGGGCAGAGCATCCGCCCCGCGGCTCCGGCCGCGATCGTTCCTATGCTGGAGCCAGCCCTGATGTGATGTGGGGTCCCTGGGGGGGTGTCCCCCCACGATTAAAGCCAGAAGAGTATTTTTAGCCTCCTCCCGAAATCCTCGGCAGTGTTTGCGGGAAGGGCGGAGGTGGTGGGGTGCCTTCGTCCCCCTTCTCCCGCCTGGAATAAAGGCGGTTTCCAGCTGGTCCCGTGGCTTTTGCCAACATCTCTTAGTGAAGGAATGGCTTTGAAGGAGAGCCAGGGCTGGCGGGGAGCGTGGGGCCCCAGGTGCCGGGGCTGCCAGGATCCCTGGGGGCAGCGGGATGGGCGTCCCTGGGCTGGACATCTGGGGACACACTGGGGAGCATCCCGGTCCCCACCAGCACGTGCTGGCCACTGCCATGGATCTTCCTCTCAACTGGGAAGGGGGAGGCAGCTCCAGCCAGGAGGAAGCAACAGGAATTTTGTTTGGCTGCTGGGAGAGGCTGCGGTTAAGGGGGATGGGGATGGGGGGAGAGGCGTCCCCCAGGAATGGCGAGGGTCTCTGCGGGGTTTGCTTAGTAAAGCTCCAGCGAGCATGGCTGAGAGCTGGGAGTCGTGACCGCCATCATGCATGCCATGGAGGGCACGGGGCTGAGCCCCTCCATCCCACCAGAAGCTGCGGGGAACCCTCGTGGGGACCAAATTGCTGCCAGGCCCTTGGCATTCCCATGCTCCAGCGCGAGGGGAAGAGGGAAATCCAACCATCCAAGCCCCAGCCCCACACCACCCTCTGAGCCCCGATGGGGTGATAGCGTCCGGCAAGGGACATAAACAGCGGCAGCTTTGGGGAGGGCTGAGGAGCAGGAGAGACTCTCTGTGACTAAACTGAGCCTTGGTCTTCCCGGTCACCACCCCAGACCCCAACTGGTGGCTTGGTGAGCAGGAGGGAGCGAGGGTTCCCAGTCTTGTTCCAGCAGCTGCTGGGTGGGAAGTGAGCGTGTCCCACCAGGTCCCCAAGACAAGGCATTGCCGCCTTCAAGGCATGGGTGCATGCACCCATCTGGGAGCCGGTCCCAAACTGGGGGGACAGGAGCAATGTGGGTGAGCAGGGTGAGGGCCGGAGGCTGGTGCTCGCCATTGAGGAGACCTACTAGTGTTGGCTGGAGCTGCTCCGTGCCTCAGTTTCCCTCCTGGGATTAAAGAGGGGTCTACCCTTCAGCCTCCCAGGGGGCTTGTGTGACTTCGGGGTCCTTGGGGCTGCTGCGGAGGCAGAACCCGAGGTATCCGGAGCAGGCTGGAAGGTCGGATCCAGGCCTTGGTGGTTGGGGCTGGGTGCTGTGTGCATGTCACACCGGTCTGGGCACCTCCGGGGCAGGGTGACATGGCAGAGGCTGCCAGCACGTTTGGTGACAGAGCTTGCAGCCAGGCTCCCAGCTCACCCGGTCGCTGTGTAAACAATACCGCGTCCCTGCCACGTGCTGCCCTTTGCACCC